CTGTGTTTCATCCAAGCAACTATCCATCCATGCATCCATCCATCCATCTAGGGGTCACCCTGGACAGGTCGCCAAACTGTCGCAGGACAAGTTTCCTGAGTTCCATACTTGTATGAATTTATGCTTCAGTTACCATCTACCTCCAGGTTCCATCTCTGCATTTGGGTCTTCTACTAAAATCCATTAACCTTGACATTGGGGACTCAATGGGGTTTGGTGTGTGTTGGCTTTTAATGTCTGTCTCAGGAGGGGAGTGTGTTACCATGGCAGCGCTCCAAGGCAGCGGCCAAGAACAGCTTCTCTTGACAATTTCACAGAATATGTTGCTTAAAACTATAGAAACTAGACTTCAAACCGGCATCTATAATCGCCAATTAACACTAGAAATTCCTGTCACGGTCTTGGTTCCGTTATGTTTTCTTTGGAGTTTTCAGTTTTACTTTGCTCCATGATTTCTAGTTTTAGTTGTTTAATTCTTATTTTGTTGTGTTCTCTGGTTATTTTTCAGTTTTTTTCTGTTGCCCTCTGCTGCCCTCTTGTGTTCCCTTTTTTCCCTAAATCCTTTCCAGTCTGCTCTGTTCACACCTGCTCCCAATCTGCTCGTTAGTCCTCTCTTTGTTCAGTCTCCCATAAATGCACTCCTTATGCAGTTCTCCAGTGCTGGTTCCTCGTCTAACTGCCTCCAACTCCATCTAACTGTTTCTTCCTCATTGTGATGTTTCCCCCAGATGTCTCCATGGTTTCTGGTTTGTTTGACTTTTTTTCATGTTTGACTTTTGGATATTTGGATTCCTGCCTCAGCTGTCTGTTTACCTTCATTAAATCAACAAGAAACTCACCTCTGCCTCCCTACTTCTGCATTTGGGTCCTCAAACCACAACCTAATCCTGACAATCCCAGAGATACGATAATCTTCGTCAGAATCCCCCCAACTGTACTTCACAACTCATGAATCCCTTTTCAGATGTTAATGTAGCATTAGCGCTGTTGCTGGAGAATTCAATTTAATTCAGTTTATTTCTATAGCGCTAATTCATAACACACGTCATCTTAAGGCACTTTCCAGTTCACCAGATCATCCAGTCAGATTGATTCAAAGTTTTCTATCTAAGGAAAACCAGTTGTTTGCATCGGCTCATTGACTCAAATGCAATCCCTCACTCTAAGCATGCTCGTAGTGACAGTGGAGAGGAAAAACCCCCTTTTAACAGGAAGAAACCTCCAGCAGAACCAGGCTCAGTGTGAGCGGCCATCTGCTGAGGCCTTTCAGTTTCGGTTTCAGCTAAAGTCATTCTCTTTTAGAGTGTTTTACCTGAGGGCAGGGGGGGAAAAAATCATATTTGTAATTAAATATAACTAAGTCTACGTCATCAGTGTCACCATCACCGGGATGATTTCAGCGGAGTCACCAGCGCAGCGAACAGACTGGGGGAAATATAACTCAAGCAATCTCTCCTCTCTCTCTCTTTTCTCCTCCGCTGCAGACATGCAGACAACATCGTGAAACTGCAGTAAAGTTGGCAATATGTTCACAGATTCGGCTTTTCCGGATTAATAACTCGTCGGCAGATGATTTATTCTACAAAACAGACCCCTGTCCGCAACCACAGCAAGGCAGACGGTGAGCTACACCCATAGTTTCCTTACAATGAGTCTCCTATCGCGCTCGGAGAATTACATGGGAATCTATGCAGAGCTTGCTGCTCCAAAAATGCTTTTAGGTACCGTCTGCAAGTTGCAAAATAATCCAAGATAAATATTCAGAAGCGTCACCAAGTAGATTATTATCACATTTATTGGATTCAAAAATAATACTTTTCTGAGGAATTTCCAAAGCCTAAATGACAAATGGCACCTCTATTTTATTATTATTAGAATAAGTATAAAATGAGCAATGACTACACTATAGACCATTGTACTGCCTTCAAACTTGTAGGATACACAGATTGTCAGGACTCCTGTTTTGTGTCTGTGTTTCTGTGTTTATCTCCCTTCATCCACCAGGAGGCGCCTGGTTCTGGTTCGCCTCCTCACACACCTGCGGATGGTTTCCTCATTAAACAGAGTGTTCTTAAGCTGCTGACTGGCACTACTTCGACGCCAGAGTGTTTGCCAGTTTAGGGTACTCTAGCCAAACTGAGTTTGCTGAGCCAAGCTGAGTTTTTTGCTGAGTCAAGCTGAGTTTTTTGTCAACCTGAGTTTAACTTTGTTTTGTCTTTGCCTCTTGGCAGGAAGCTGTCCTGCTAACTGGATCTCTCGGACCTTCACAACCTGGAAAGATAAACTGAGCTTCAAACTTAGCTGGGATTCAAACAGGAGGTTTGGATCCACTTTCCCCAAGAGATCGTTTGAGCTTCTCACTGAGAAAGGGATTACTCTCCACATCGACCCGTTCATGCCTCGCAGGAAATCTAAGTGGCAGTCAGTATCTCCGTTCTCCAACAATCAACCGCATTCTGGGTAAAACCTGTTCCGCCCTCCACCGGATCATACAGACACTGGAACCACAGTACACAGACAGGAGTCAAGGACTCAACTGCTTCACTGGAAACGTAAGTCGGCAACCAAAACCTCTTCTCCAAGTTTCACAAGTCAAATTCCCCACTGAGCCTGAACTAACCGCTTTGTCTTCCCCTCACTTTGCAGATCCGGTTGAGCAGTGTTCTGAGCAACGCTTCTCCCCCTGTTTACTTCTTCAATAAAACCCGTTAAACCTTTTTCCTGGTCTCTCTGTTCGGTTTTCTGCATTTTCGGGTCAGAACTTTGAAACATCATGACACAGATAACCTCATCTGGATCAGACTACAACTCTTACTTTGGGAAGATTGGCCAAAATTTATTTTTGGTGATTTTTTTCTTTGTTATTATCAGCATATAATAGCAAATAATTACACTATAGATGATTGTAGTGCCACCAAACTTGTGGCAAACATAAATAGCATCATCTAGTTCATACTACAACTCTTACTTTCAGAATATGTGCTAAACTATTTTTTTTTGAGAGTTTTTCATTATTATAAGCAAGCCAGGTGTGCAATCTCTGCAACAGGAACCACAGCACTGAGCGTTGTGTGCACTGCACAAAGTATACCTGTCACTAATGCAGGAAGGACTCACCTTGGGTTTGTATAAACTGCTAAATGGGACAATTGTAGCTTCATATGTAGCGCTTTTCCTTGGGTGAAAAAAATGTTACTGCTATACTGAAATCATACTGTTTGTCATTCTCTAAGCTGAAATGTTGTATGACGTGAAAAGGCATGACAAGACAAAATACAATTATTCTCTAAGTTGTTCTTTCTTTCACACAGTTAGCTTTGCAATATAAACGAGTCTGTTGGTGAATGGACAATATAAATAGGCTCTGCCTTGCTTTGTTGAAAAAGCATGGCTATGACCTGTTCTCAACTCAGGAGCTAGGACCTGTATGATATCTGGTTGTTCAATAGGTTTGCCTAAATAAAAGGTTTAGATATGACTTATCAAGATATTCCTGCAAAAAGGTCTGATGTTGCAGGGGAAGGTAATAAAAAGTGTTTGGAGCATGCTCTTGTTCTGATGCCAGTTTGTTTCAGCCTTTATCCAGTCTCATGTAGAAAGGCTGGTCATATCACAGGTTATTTGCATTGCAACAAGGGCAGTTAGCAATGTAGAGTGAATACACAAACTTGAAGAGGGGAGGGGGACTTGCAGGAAAACTGGAATTCTCCGGCACATCTAGTGTTACATTCAGACATTTTTGACCATTTAAAAAGCTGTGGAGTGCTACGGACAGATCTCAACAAAAAACAGAGGAACGTAACTGCTGAAGGAAGAGATGCACGAGACGGAGAAAGCGAGGCTGCAGAGTGGGGCTAACTGCGAAGCTAAGGACAAATCCCCACGAAACCTCCACTTCCATCAATCCTGCTCTCCAACGTCCGCTCATTGGATAACAAAATGGATAATCTCCGACTGTAACTCTCATCAATGAAGGAGATTATTAACTGCTGCGCCATCATTCTGACGAAGTCGTGGCTGCATCCTGCAATACCGGACAATGCTATTAGCCTGGAGGGGCTAATGCTACACCACGGCGATAGGAACAAAGAACTAAGCGGTAAAACTCAGGGTGGTGGACTCTGTGTTTACATCAACAACAGCTGGTGTAAAAATGCTAGATCAGTCGCCAGCTTCTGCTCTCCTGACATCGAGTTTCTGACTGTTAACTGCAGGCCGTTCTATCTGCCCAGAGAGTTCAGTGTGGTTAGCATGACTGCTGTTTATGTGCCCCCCAGCGCTAACACTAAAGAGGCCATGAAGACTCTATACCAGGCTATCTCTGAGCTCCAGTCTGCACACAGAGGCTGTTTTCATCATTGCTGGGGATTGTGACGGAGGAGCCGTCATCAGCTGGGACTTAGCTCCAGGCCAAGAAAGGATAGGCTATTGGTTTAATTCCTATTTTGTTGTAGTTTCTAGATTTATGTTAGTTCTCAGGTTTTTCTGTTGTCCTCTGTTGCCCTCTTCTGTGTGTGTTCCTTTCCCCTTGGCTCCCTCGTTGTCTCCTCTCACACCTGCTCCTTATCAGCTTGTTAGCCCTGCCTTTGTCTCAGTCAGCTATATATACTCTCCCTCTGCTGTCACTCCTCGTTGGTTCCTTGTTGTTGCTGGTCCTGTCGTTGCTGTTGTCTTGTTTTCCCCTGATGTCTCCATGATTCTGGTCTGTGTTACTTTTTTAGTTGGATTTTTGGATTTTGCCTCAGTTATTCGTGTTTGCATTAAAACTACAAGAAATCACCTCAGCCTCACTGCCTCTGCATTTGGGTCCTCTAAACCACAACCAAAATGTGACACAAAGATGCTTCAGCCACGCGTCAGAACTAAACATGTACAAGCATCAAAACTGAAGCAGCATGCGCGTTTTTGCTCCTCTTTCTGCTTTAGGTGTGAATAGAGTGCCCAATATCCCCCATACCCATACTGATGTTGCTCCTGTCTCCAAGGACAGGGACTCTTACCTTATCCAAGTTGTTGTAAAAGTCAACACTCCCAGCACACAGATATCTTCCAAGCAGAGTTGCATGGGTAGTAAAGACTGTTGCCATAGGAATGTTGCGGGAGCGAGACAGAATAAGCCCAGGCCCTGCCTGCCACTCATGGAAGTGACCAATGACATTGGGCTTGTCTCCAAGTGTGTCTGTGAGCTAACAAGCATAAACCAAACAGATGTTAGATGATCACGGGTTGTTAAATCATACATTGACACGTCTGAAAAACAGGTGGAGACCTTTTTCCACTGAAGTGAGATCTAAAATCGACAAACCTCTTTGAAGAACCAGGCAATTAATGAGCCCAGAAGGAGTGAGTCGTTGGCCTCCCGGTCATGATATGGCAAACCAATATGGCAGGTCTCCCATAAGTCCCCCTTCCATCTGTCCAGGTTCCACGCTGCAGAGCAGATGTCGAACAGGATGACATACGGGCTGCCCTCAATCAGCCAGCGGCCAAAATGAACCTGAAGCAGTGGACAGAAAAGCCCAAGAAGAAATATGACAAGATGTCATTGTGTTTAAAACCTTGTTTTTTCAGAATTTACCTACAGGCACTAATGTTCACCAGTTTTAAAATCTTATTAAGCAGTAAAACTGAAGAAGGTTTATGCCACTTTTACACAGCAGTTCTTGATGTCATAAGCTAATTTATTTCTTAACTGTGGTGATTCGGCTTTTGCCTTAATTTAAAGGGCACAATATGTAGGGATGGTCTGGTAATGATGATTTAGTATTGTTGTTTTATATATATATGTATATATATATATATATATAATATGTAGGGATGGTCTGGTAATGATGATTTAGTATTGTTGTTTTATATATATATGTATATATATATATATATATAATATGTAGGGATGGTCTGGTAATGATGATTTAGTATTGTTGTTTTATATATATATGTATATATATATATATATATAATATGTAGGG